GCCCGCGCTGCGCCCCGCTGCTGCTCCTGCTGCTGCTGCCGCCGCTGCTGCTCACGCCCCCCGCCGGGGACGCCGCAGTCATCACCGGGGTAAGCGGCCTGCGCACCTGTCCGCGGGGATGCAAGCCCGCCTTGCGCCTCGGGGGCTGGCCGCGAGGCCGGCCGAGGGGGCTACCGGGGGGCAGGGGAGGCTTGCCCCGCGCGGGGACACCTGCCTCGCTCGCCTCTGGACGCACTTGGAAAAGTGCCCTGCTCCAAAAGCAGCAGGCGGCCCGGGACGCAGGGAGCGCCCGGAAAGAAAAAGTGACCAAGTGTCACCCCACTACCTTCTCCCGCTGGCTCCCCCCTTCTCTTCCCATAACCTCTCTTCTCGTTTGCTCTGCATTTCCGTGAAGGCGAAGTTTTCTTTCAGGGTCCTCCCAAGCACCTTGTCGAGACAGTCCAGCCTCGAACCTTAAAAGTTGAGGAGCCCTTCCGGAAATGCAAAGGGGCAAGACGTAGTCTTCAGAACTCGAGAATCTTAATCCTGTAGTCAAGGAGTTTGCTCCCGGTGCGCCCTCCGCAGAAGCTCTTTGAAACAACTTGGTCCCAGGCCATGTGTGCTCTTTGAAAGGCAATTGTGGGCGCTTCCTTTTCGTTCCTGGGCTTTTTTTCCCAACGTCCTGAGGTTCTCCTTGGAAAAGTTTTCTATTTCTAATTACTGACGAGGCACCTCCGGTGCTCTGAGTAGGTTGTCATGTAGATGTTGTTTCAATTTAGAGAAGACGTCTTCATCCTTTCTGGAAGTAGGAACTAATTCAGTTTTCTCTTACTCTCACCAACATTTTTCTTTGTGTGGGTCTGAAGGATGAGCTTACATTTTAAGTCTAGTCTAGTTTACATCAATAATTTTAAAAGTCTATTTTCACATCAATACTTTAAAAATGCTACCATTCTGGTGATTTAACTGTGTTATTCTTCTTTTAAGTGTGAAATTATAATACACCTGACATTCCTTTTAAAATGTAAGTGCATGTTATAAGATTTAAATACAACTTCTCTATTTGAAATACTGATACATAATGAAATAAACTCGCTTAAAGAAAACATCATTGTCTTGAGAAAATAAAACTGTTGTCTCCACGTTAGTTAATACTCCACTGCAAGTTGAAAGCTCTTGTTAACAGCTTTGGTTGTGTCTAATAGACAATTATAGGCACTGTGATATTTAGTAGAATAGTTTGGAGATTAAAAAAAAAACTATTTGAAAAGCTTTGTCAGTAGCTAGCTTGTGTTTGGAAAAAAAAAGTTTTTACAGCTTTCATACATGAGAGTTGAAACAGGATTTTTTTTCTCCCTCTTCCCCTGCTGGCTCATTTTAAATTTCTTCTAATCCTCTGAGCCCAAAATTCCTTTGCAATATAAGTATCTTTTTGTTCCATTCACAGGACAACACTATTTGAATAGATTTGCAATGGGTTATGGATGAAGGGCCTTAGGAAACAGCTATCTAATTAAAAATATATAAACCTATGCAGTTCTTTATAAATATTTCCAAGGACTGAAGCTTTTCATTACAAAATGAAACCATATATCTTTGTGTGTTTATCTGTTACAGAGGTTTAGACTGGTCTTATATAGTTGTTTGCTGTTTTGTTGTTCTCTTCACTCAGTGTTACAAAAAGATTTAAAAAAAAATCTCTAAGCAACATGGCAATAAAGAAATGTAGTTATGTCTCCATGACAGGAACCATCTGGAGTCAAATGAAAAACTCAGTAACTTATTTAGATCTATTGTCCTAAGAACATTAAATGTCCAAATGATTGATTGAATTTTAAAAGATTTTGGTTATCTTATAAAGAAGAGGAAATAGGGCTTCAGAATTCATTCTTGAGCATCTATTGAAATGAAATACTATCTGAAGCCCCCACCTTATATACTTACTTTGGGAAGGTAATATATGTACTTATCTTGAAATTGATTTATCTGTCCACATAGATTTGTTAAGATTGTTGTGGAAAAACACTGCTTTCTGAGCATCTCAATTATGGAATTGCAGTCGCCATGAAGCTGTGATTTCTGGCATACAGCTAACAACTGAAAGTGGAAATGTGTTGTCATCTTATAAATGACCAGGCACTTCAAGATAACTTTTTGTAAATATGCTGAGAAAAAATTGTAGTGAGAGAAATAAATCAACTCAAAAGTAAGCTAGTTAATTTGGCCACTCTTCGTGAAAAATAATGAATGAGAAAGTACCTTTCTAGTTGTGTTGAGAAATTATGGCTGTCCCCAAAACTAAGAACTTTGAGGAAGTGTTTTTATTGTTGCTAACAAGTACATATTTAAATTTGTGCTGAAATTCTCGCCTTTACCTATATAGTTAATACAAGATGCTTTTTACCTTATCACTAGCAAAACATATTACTGCACACTATTCAAACAAAGCATCCTATATTTTGTTGATGTGAGGGAAGAACAATAGTTCTTCAGATCCATTTTCATGCAAATAAATTTAGGCTTCCTTATTTATTTCTACTGAGTGGAATAAAAATGTGGAAAGTCCTTTGCTGTTGACTGATTACATATGTATCTGCAATCTTTACATTGGGAAGATATAAAGTAAAGCCTTAAATAATCATTGTTGTCACTTGCATTCTTTAATATGATTGTGCTTTTTAACCTGATGGATCTTATAAAATAGTTCAGCTGGTATTGTAATATACATTTATGAATATCGTAAGCCATAGATTTCCTTTCTGTGGGTTACTTACCACCCTCCCAAAGTAACATAGGACAAAGTCTTGGTTTGTCCATTCTCAGCCTAAGAACATTCTTTCTTTATAGAGGGAATGATGAAAATCAAGTCAGTAGTGTGAGTAACATCAAGTCTCATGAACCAAAATGCAAATATTTGAAAGGAAAATGAGCACTTCTAAAATTTACATGAGTGCCTTTATGGGTCTGGAGTGTTTCATGCCAGATTTAAAGACCATTTAAATCCCTTTTTAAAGTTGGGCCCAATGTGTTCTGCAGTTAATAGTCATAAAATCTTGTGATTCGATTTATATAGTTCCTAATGGCCATGTACGGTATCAGTCTAATAAAGGCTTGTTCTTCAAGTTCAAAGTCAATTCAGCCTTAAAGCACTGAAAAAGGAGAGCTGATTTTTCTTTTTCAAAAATTTTATATTTAAGATTTTTATAACCTGTGGGCCACTATTTAAGCCATTTTTCTTTTTTAATCTAGGGGATTCTGATCAGATTTTATTATAAGTCTGTGCATACTAATGAAGGTGACAGTTCTTTTTATTTTGTGGTTCTTAAAATCATAGAGTATGTTTTTTAATGCTATTTTTAGATTTTCTCAGCCTGAGCTATTCCCGCTATCTATATTTATCTGTTTACTGCATTTCAGGCCTGCGACAAGGACCCCCAATGTGGAGGAGGCATGTGCTGTGCTGTTAGTATCTGGGTTAAGAGCATAAGGATTTGCACACCGATGGGCAAAGTGGGAGACAGCTGCCACCCGCTGACTCGCAAAGTTAGTATATATGTTCGTATTCACCGAATTTCTCTTCTGTTGGTGGTACCTTAACTCAGAGCAAGGCTGTGTGACATGAACCCTGGGGTCATGTGCTTGTGGTTGAAAGTTAAAGAAGATGGCAATGGAAAAGCCATCTCCTCTCGCCATTCCCTGTCCATTTTAAGTTAGTGTCTCCTGTACCATCCTTACTCTAGTGAGTGTCTTCCTATCAAAGTTTTCATGGCATTAGAAATAGTTCATAAATCAATTTCAAACACTTAAACTTGCTTAAAAATTAAGACACAGTATGTGTATATATATATATCTGAGATATGACTATATCTCACAGAAATCAGAGTATAGAAGTTCTTGAAAAAAACTTTTATTTTCTCTACCAAAGAAGCACAAAAATGTCTGTGCTTTGTTTTTCTGCAAAGAGTCATCCATACTATTAACTACTCCTGTATTTAAAAAGTCCTATATTTTGACTCTATCCATGGAATATTATGTTCACACCCTAAAGGTTAAAGATATTTAATTTCCAACTTATTATCTGACAGCTCAATATCACAATGATCTAAGCAACTCTTTTGCAAAATTACTGCCAGTTAGAGGCATGACCGTAGGATGGCAGGATTGGACAGGGCTGCAGAGACTATGCTGTGGCTCTTCTGTCTGCAGGGCCCAGACAGGTTTGTGTGAATTCAAGAAAGGGTGGAGGGAGACAAGAGAAGTATATGGAGCCTACAGGCCCTTTCCCTTCAGATTCAAAACTTAGGAACCCAATATGAGCTCAGCAAAGCTCCCTGGATCCAGGTCCCTGTGCTTGCTTGCTCCCAGGGCTGCCTTCCTGCCTCACCTAGCAGGAAAGTGAGTCCAGGAGCTCTGAAGGACAAGTTAGGCTGGGTGTCTCTTTGGAGGCTGAGCTCTTTCTCTGCAGGGTTCATGCTACACTTCGCATTCGTTCAGATTTTCAAAATAGATTGTTTGCAAAACAAACTGAATCTACCTTCTGGCTTTTATTTTTTCCCCCACATGTGGTTTGGGGTTTAAAACTGTAGTAGAACCAAACATGTTTCCTGTGCTCCACTGTCACAGATAACAAACAGTTCATATTTTGACTTTCCCAGAATGAACATACTAAACTAAATCAGCCTGCTGGCTGAGGTTCAGTGGACCCCGGTTTTTGGCCTATCTGAAGGCTGTCTTTGGCTGTCATGTGGTTTCCTGAAGAAATACTTCTGTTAGATTTAGGCCATTCCTCCCAGTTTTACTCCTGGATACTGTGCTTTCATTCTTAAACTTGACACGCACCTTTTTGTTCTGGGCCACTTTAAGACAGGAAAGTGTTTTAAACCTGTTAGGTGTTGTCTGTCTCAATACCACGAGGAGGTGAAACAAGCCCAGCTGCCTGTTTCACTGACCTCAGTTTTTTCGTTCTTCTCAAATGTGAGGTGTCTGTTTTACACTGGAGTCCTGTCTCCAAAAGGTTTGCTCTTAGCCCAGCCTTGTCCTTTAAGAAATAAGTTGCTAGTGTATGGCAATAGTCAAACCTCACACATCTGAGTCACTAGAGTCAAGTAGCCTGTTTGCTAAAACAAGTGAAAAGTGACACATTATTGTGGCGCTCTTTATGACTTAATAGTGGTAATAGCTGTTACTGATTGAGCGCTGAGATGTACCACACACTCTACTGACTGTTATGTGTGGGTTTCTTACTTAGCACATAATGATCCTGTGAGTAGATGCATTACTGTCCCATTCTCCATACAACGTTACAGTAACTCATTGAGGTCACAGGTGATAGGTCAGAGGGTGGAAGCTGGATTTCACTTCTTCGTGACACTCTGTTGTCTGTGGTCCTTATCACTGTGCTCTTCTACCGCTGGGAAAGCTGCTGTGGTGTTTGATTGGCACATTTTACAGTCCAGTTAGCCAGAGCTGGTTCATGAGGGGAGGATGGTCACTGGGTTGAAGGGTGAGGACTCCAAGGGGAATCATTGCATCCTATCTAGTTCTAATGAGATTCCCAAATCTGAGCTATTTAAAAAAGAGAACCAAGTTCTGGTTCCCTAGTTCCTAGGTCACTGCTAAGTCAGGTTTGGGTACAAGGTCAGTTCTGACACTAAACAAAATCAGTCTTCTCCTGTAAGCCAAGGTACATCTCTATGCTTTTGTTTTTATTATGGTTTTAATAATGAAATCCTTAGTAACAGATTGATTTTCATAGTAGAATTAAGTGATACAATAACCGATGTCACAGAAAAAAAACAAGGTTTTCTGTCGGAACTGAATTTTCTTTTTATTTTTTTTAAAGATTTATTTATTTGTGCATATAGAACTGGGGTACAGGCCAGAGATGCAGGGGTGGTGAGAGGATTCACCAGAGACAGAGTGGGGAGCAGAACAGGCTGGCTGATGAAGTACACTGCTGAGGGGAGCAGCGGGCGGGTCAGGAGAGGTCTGCCACACTGTGTGGATCACCTCCAGGGCAGGCAGGTGAGGATTGAACTCATACGGAAGTGGCTTTAGCTTCTTAGTACCATGCTTTAACCCGCTGCGCCACCAGGGAGGGCCCAGAACTGAATTTGCAAGTCAGATCTCACTTGAAAAGTGATTCTAGAATTCAGCTTTATAGCTACGGGTGGCTTTTCTGTCTTGAAAATACATTTTTATACATAATGCAATGATGTGTTTTTTAGGGTAAGTCTCAGAGATGCTACTTTTTCTAGGTGAAATTAACCTGTCCCTGTCAAAATCTGTTGTCTTCCAGAATATAAACTATATTTAAAATAACTGAAGGAAAAAAAAAGTGCTTTATAAGCATCTCTTCTGGTAAACAGTATGTGCAGTACTCAGCTCTGCTTTAAAATGCAATGGATCATTACTAGGTGGTAAAAATATACATACCATGTTAATGCTTAAATTTTTTTTTTTAGGAAAAATGCTTGAAGTCACAGGGTTTGGTGTTTATAAAACACCAAAGGCCGTAAATAAGTGAAGATTATACTTGTTCACATTTTACCCCTAAAAGTGTTTGTTTTGATAAAGTGAACAATTTTTGATGAATTAAATTGAAAACCTTGGAGGTAGGAATTGAAGCTACTGAATTCAGCTTACTGTCTTTATTTCAGATGTACCAGTTCACTTACAAGGTTTATAATCTTTGCTAACCTTTATTTTGTAATTGTCTGACTTTGAACTTTATATTTGATAATTAAAAAGAGAGAAGAAATTACAAGTCCACCTAATAAGAATAGGATACATGTTTTTTAAACAAATTTTAAGGCAAATAAGAATGTTAACATATATTCATTTTTAGCTATTTTTTAACAATTGAGAATGAGTTATTAAATCATTAATTTATGGAGAATACGTTGCTAGCTCTTAAATTAACAGTTTTAACTTCTACTAATACATACTTTTCAGAGTTTACAGGATAGATTAACCTTTTCTATTCAATTTTGATTACCAGTTTTGGAGGTTTATAATTATGTGATTAATACTCTTAATTTTATTGCTTATTATTTTATGATCTTTTTCTATTTAAGCAACTGTTGCCTCTAAAACATTAACCTTGTTTTTTTTCATTTTGCTCTACTTTTTATGTTAATTTTTTTAGTATCAGTTTTGTTTTCTAGGGTTTTTTGTTGCTGTTTGTTTTAATTGATTTATTTATTTATGCATACAGAACTAGGGTACAAGCCAGAGGTGCAGGGATGGTGAGAGGATTCAAGAACAGAGTGGGGAGCCGAACAGGCAGATCGATGATGTACACTGCTGAGGGGAGCAGCAGGTGGGGTCAGGACGGTCTACCGCGCCATGTGGTTCACCTCCCATGTGGGTCACCTCTGGGGCAGGGAGCGAACATGCTGAAGTGGCTGTGCTTCTTAGTGCTGTGCTTTAACCCGCTGTGCCACCAGGGAGGGCCCTTGTTTTCCATTTTTCCTACACTTTAAAATTTGACCAGTACTTTATCCTTTTCTGAAGAAAAAAAATTCAGATTTAAACTTGGGTCTTGTTTGTGTAAGACAGAAAAGGAAGATTTTAAAAAATTATTAGCTGTTTCTCTTTAGAACCAATATATGCTGAAACATTTTACACATGATTATAATTTCATAAGAGCTATTTGGAAACTATTAAAATATAGCTTATATATAAGAAAGGATAAACTGCTGGCTTCCTCCACTTTACTATCAAATCAGAGCCGCTGTCTATATTTGGTCTCTCAGAGCAACATTGTAGCTGCGATTAGAGGTTTACATTGGCAGAAAAACTATCAAGACATAACTCTGCTTTAGTTTGAGATAGGGTTTCTTGTCCTGGGTCCTTTTAAGATTTTGGATCAGGTGACTTTGGAGGGCTGTAGAATGTGGAGCAGCATTTCTGGCCCCCACCTCTCACGTGCCAGGCTCTCCCTGCTCAGTAGTGACATCCTAATGTGCATTGACGTCCCCTGGGTAGAGTTGGGATGACGCGAGGCAGGAAGTGCTATGGTTGAACACCACTGCCCTTACTCAGCCTTCCTCGAAACAGGGTAGGAGTTGCCAGCACACCTGTCTCTTTAGGGCCTTATCAGCTTCCCAAGCACATAGCTTAGTACCCTCTTGTCCACACGAGGTGTTTGTGGCTGCCACAGATGAGAGCCAAGGTGTACATCGGTTCCCCTTAACCCACAGAGACTACTGCCCTTATTTCTTATATTTCTTTGGTGCCCCCCTAGGCCCAAGGCCTCTGTGCTTGCTGCTCGCCCAGGCTTAGGCAGGGCTCCACACAGCAGAGGGATTCTCTGAAATATCAGTGCACAGAGAGGCCCAGGGCAGTGTTAGTCTAGCCCCGTGTTACCCCTCTACTCACAAAAGGAAAATAGATAAGTCATTGAGTGACTCAGAGCTATATGGATATATATCTCATCCAAGTATTTTTGAAAAAATAGTGTCAAACTTTACTCAATTCAATGGCAGTCTTCATAATTATTAAAACCAGAAAGTGGGGGAGTGTGGGACTTTTAGCTTTTATGTAGTGCTATGCAGCTGGAATTACTTAAGTAGTCTATTGAGAAACATTGTAACAAAACTGGCTTTATCACAAATAATATAACAGTACCAGTGCTTTCTATGTCCTGACTAGACTTCATGTATTCTTTTAGGTTTCCCTTTTATCATAACTGACTCTATTTTGAGAGACATCAAAAACAATGTTTCATATTAGTGCTATTTTCTCTTTAAAATTGCTGCCAATAGGTAAGAGTCATGCCTCCCTGAGAGAGCTGGCAGGCCTGCCTCAGCATTTGCTGTTTGAAAGTGTAGGTTGTTAGAGATGAGGGCAAGGGGATGGTTGATTCTGAAGTAAGCCATCACATTGGACTGAATGGTCAGCTCCTTGACGGTCTCTATATCTGGAAATGCATCTTCTATAATTACTTTCTCCTGTGCTGGTGACAGTTCGATCAGGTTTGTCACACAGAACATGCACAGCCAACATCTGAACTGAGTAGGCAGCCAAGAAATCAGAATGTATCACACTAGCACTCAAGGTCTTGGTCAGGAGGAGCTGTTGGGTAAAAGGGGAAGACGGGAACAGTGCCAGACTGGTACAGTTAGGAAATGCTTCGAAGAGGGAGAAGCACAGACAGGATTTGGAAAAAGGAGGTAGGTATGCTGAGAATAAGGAGAAGGCATCCAGGTATATAGTGTCAGCTGCACAGTCTAACCATGAGGTTTGTGTCAGTTGAGGAAGATGTGGGTTGAGGTGTCCATGGTCTTGCTGCCCTTGATAAGCTGACAAGTACAAGAATAGTGAAGATGTCTTTGAGAGTGTCACAACATATGTGACCTTATGCACAGTTGACGGGTTTACATTGTGAGGGCCTCCAGCTTCTTTGGCATCACAGTAAGTCCCTGTCTTGAGTTTGGTGGTGTGTGTCACATTGGCAGGGTGAGGGGCAGCCATGGGACCTAAGAGTATCACCCCTACACCTCCAGAGCGTTCATGGTCTCTCATGGGGAGAAGGAAGGAGATAGACATTTAACAAATATTTTCTTGAGTGTCCCTTAGGTAGGAAGCTAAGTGCTGTGTGTTCATAAATAAAACAGACAAGGCCCACCCTTCAAAGAGTCTGGAGTCTGGCATATGAGAAAAAAAGCAAAATTTGGGAGAAAGTGGAACTGGATTTGATGGCACATACCCTTTCTAGCTGGTAACCTCAGCTGCCATGCTACTATTTCACTCCAAAAGGAAGCCACTTCGCTATGTGACAGTGACAGTGACAGCTATGTGAGGTGACAGTCTGGCACTCAGGTTTGGTGTGGAGTTCTTACATGCACTAGAGAGTCCTGGCTCTTTATACCTGCTTTGAAGATAGCAGAACCCACGTAGAGTAACCACAGTGTCCTGATGCTCAAAGCTCAGAGCTTCCCTGTCCACCCTGAGGGCACTTACTATCCAGATGAAACTGCATATATGGTTGTCTTTCATCATTAAAGTTTAAGTTCCCTGCGGGTAGGGCCTCTCTGTTTGGTTTAGCACTGTATGCTTGGTGGCTAAAATAGTGCCTGGTGTGTCTGGCAACAATTAATAGAGTAAAAGAAGCCTGTTTGTCTTCCATATATAGCAGTTTGACAGGTTGATTGTCCTTACAGTTCTCTCATTTCAGATTCATTTTTTTTGGATACTCTGCCTGTGTCAGTGTTTCTTATCCTCAGCCCAGTGACATTTTGGGTCATTCTCTGTCATTGAGGCTATGTCCTATGAACTGTGTTTAACCACATCCCTGAGCTCTTACCCACTGCATGCCAACAGCACCCCCAGCTGTGATAACCAAAAATATCTCTGGACAATGCTAAGTATCCCTTGGGTAGTGGGAATGGGATCACCCCCTGAGTTGAGAGCCACTGGACAAGCATTAATTTTAGGCTTGGCTAAAAGGAAGCTTTCCATTTTCAGGACAGAACAGATCTCACACTATCCATTAGTAATTGGCCAAGCCAATGAAGCTATACCCACCTCCTCTGGCTTCTTCTTGTAAACAAATGAGCCAGCCTGCCATGTACCTTTGACATACACAGTGACAGGACCATTCTGAGCACAATTCTCTGTGGAGTCACTGGCCATGATGTCACATACAGATGCTGCTGTCAGAGCCTTGAACATCTTGCCCTTTGAAAAAGACAAAGGTACCCAGTAGCTCTGCCTGTCCATGGGGTACTTACCTTGATTGCCTACTGCCACCTTTTTTCTGTCAGTATTTATTGACCTCAGTCATCTCCCTGGCCCTTCCAGAACCTTTTTGGAAATGGAAGTCAGGAAAGAAGGAAGAAGAGAAGGAAAAAGAAATACAGGATCAAAACGGGGGTGGGGTGGGAAGAGCACATGGGACTATGATGATGGCTCGTGGTGAAGGGAGGTGGGAAGGCCACAGGGATTACAACTGAGATGAATAAGGTACAACTATAGATAGTATAAAAAATATATTTATAAAATAAACAGAGAAAAGAACCTGAGCTGTGTCACCCAAAGATAACACCAGAACACTGGCTGTGGGACTACTATGGAGTTGGTTCTGTCCTGTCAGTTCAAAACCCCAGAATGTTTAGAATGGTTCTGCCACTGTTTGCAAATTGTGTGTGTTTTAATGCACGTAGGAATTATTTAGAAGGCATCTGGAAGGTGCATCTCAGATGGTGTGGGTTGGCCTCTTTTTGGTGGCCTGCAATAGGAAATACTCTAGAATCACCCTGGATAAAGTGTTTGAGCTGGGAAACAGGGAGGACTCATTTCCTGAGGCAGGAGTCTGTAAGAGCTTGCCTCTCTCATATTACCCTGGATTGGAATGATGTTGCTTTGATTCTTCACAGTGTCCAGGTCTGGGCTATTCTTTCTCCACATCACTCACAGGGCAGGCAGATTCTCAGGAGGGCCTCATTCCGTGGCTGGGGCGATGAGTTTTGCTCTGAGCCTTTGCAAAGCATACTTAGTGTGAGTGTGCGGTGCCCCTGTCTGCACAGGGAGCAGCTGCTGCTTGGCCGTCTTCAGTCCCGCTTTGTTGGTGGTTGGGGCCCAATTCTGAAGCATCAGCTCAAGGACTTTCAGAATGAAGCCAACCTCGCCCTGCCAGCTCTTCCTCCCTAGCCCAGGTTCGGTTTAGTCTTGTCCAGTTCTGCAAACCCAGCTCACCTCCTTTCCTTATTGTTCCTCCCTGCTCCCCATCAGGATCTTGACTCCTGACCTGTGTGTGCAAACACGTGACCTTATATGTTGCCCATTGTCTGTGCCCATTGTACTTGGTCATTAAGTGTCTATAGGTTCATATGTGCTTCCATGGGAGCGTCATGACTTAAAAAAATTAAAATACAGGAAAGTATGGCTCGATGGTTAAAACACTTGGTTTGTCTGGTCCAGCTGCCGGCCAAATCCCTAGTTGAGGATGTGAGACCTTGGGTAAGTTTCTAAGAGCTCCGGACCTCAGTTTGCCTTCTGTAAAATGGACGTAATTGAAGTGTTTGCTGTCTTCACAGGGTGGTTGTAAGGATGGAAGAGGGCAAAACATACTAAAGTGCTGAACTTGTTGCCCAATGAGCAGTTAATATTCCATCAGCACTAGTTATTTGAAGACATGTTTCAAGAACAGTTTAGTTTGCGTTTTGTATCCATTTCTTGCTCTGACTCAGTTTCCCTTTTTATTTTAGGTTCCATTTTTTGGGCGGAGAATGCATCACACTTGTCCTTGTATGCCCGGTTTAGCCTGTTTACGAACATCATTTAACCGGTTTATTTGTTTAGCCCGAAAGTGATCACTTTAGACCAGAAACTTTAAATGTGAACAGCCACATGATGTATGTAAAACATATTTACTTGTGATTGTGCCAAACAAATAAGATGCCAGAAAAAAAATGCTGTTGCTTCCTCAAATTTCCAAGTAACATCTTATCTTTGCCTTTTAAGTGATGAATTTTTTTTAATTGAAAGAAGATTTTAATTTTGGATAGAAATATAACGTGCAAGTCATTATGGAAGCGGTCCTCATTTCCCAGTTTGTGTTTTGGTTTGGTTTGGCTTTTTTTATGCCATTAACACCCATTTTCACCAAAATGAGGGGAATAAGAATTTGGCATTTTGTGCAAGGTTTTCTTCCTTAATTCCCTCTCCCCTCCCACTCTGGTCTCTTGTCTGTCACCCTTCAATGAATTTTCCGGCCCTCACTTTTTTCTCCCTTTTTTTCCTGGCTCCTCAAGCATTTTAGAAGGGCTGGGGGTAGTTTGCCGGCAGAATCGCTGATGAGAATCAAGCTTTTGCCTGATACTTCAACAGTGAAAGGAGTGTGGTTGCACTGAACCCTCCACACTTCTCTTATTGGAGTAGAAGATGGGGCTGCTTCTAAATTCTCCCTGAACCTGCCTGTGCACTTCAGGTCTGCTATTTGACGGGTGCAAGGGCCAAAGGAATGGAAAGTCAAATTAATTTAGTCCAGATTTCTAGTTCTGTGCTTTTTAAAAAAGATTTAGTTTCCAATTGAATATTACATTTCTTTCTTGCTTTTTTTAAGTTTATTTTTAAAACATCTCAGTTAGAAATGTTCCAGAAAAATGTCACTTGAAGAGGAGGTGTGACCATTTTAAAATCAACATTAAGTTGTAATTTAAACTTTATTTGTAACCAAAAGTTCTTTTGTAATGGGTTGCCTGACATCCTGCCATTTGCACCTGTATCAATATTGCTGTGTAAAAATTCTGTATCAGAATAATGACAGTACTGTATATCATTTGATTTATTTTAATATTATATCCTTATTTTTGTCACAGTTGTCGTCAGTTTTTATTACAAGCAGATTTCTATGCAGCCCACATTCTAAAATGGGGCAGAGGTTCCAAAGTTGGTAAAATAGCACTAACAGTATGTGCATTTTCATTTACATCCTGAAAAATTCTGTTTGCATGTATTTTAAACAGCACAAACAATAAACAGTGTATAAAATCACTGAGGTTTTGGAGCATGAAGGACAGTTATGACCTATCAAACCGATTGTGATCAGGAACGGACTTGTGGGATTTCCCTGTATTGATTCAGCAGATAGTGCTGGTGTGTTTACGTGGGTGGTCAGGAACAGTTCTGGGTGCTAAGTGTACAGTGGTTCCAATGTAGTTTGACCTGGAAAAAACCCTCCAAGAATTGTAAATGAATTCAGTGTCTCAAATAAACAACTTATGAAATGTGTTTAACTGACTAACCTTGACCATGGCAACCCACTGTCTGAAAAAGATTGTCAATTTTGTAGGGATTTTCTCAGCGGGAGCTTACAAGTGCTCATTGCATGTGACTTTACCCCATGGGTTGACACATACGTTAAATATATGGGATTTGATGTACTAATTACCATACTTGGTCATAATTGTAGTATTTTTGGTTCTGTTTAGTTTGTGTTCAAGAATATTCCTCAGTAAGTTTGATGAAAAAAAAAAAAGATTAGACGTGAACAAGTGGATTACCAGATAAAAGAAATAGGCACTTTAGAAATTTTACTAAATGTATTCAGAAGTTTGAAAACTTAATTTGGTCGATCATTTTCACCTAAGTAAAAGACATTAAATATATATATGTATATTATATATGTGTATATATGTATATTTAACTTTTGTAAAGTTGGTTAAATATATATATTAACTTAGTATATATATTATTTTAATATAGTAATATATATATTTAACCAACTTTACAACAAAATTTTACTTCTACCTACATCAACTCAGTTTTTTTTAACAAATCACTACTAAAGTGGGATATGTACACAGTCCAAGGAGTGAGTGTGAAGTTTGTGTGGAAAATGTAGAACTGGATCTACTGACTCATTCACTCCCATCCAGAGAAAAACAGAACTTTGCCACTTAATATTTGTCTTTGTGGTTTTTTTTTTTAAGGTTTATTTATACATACAGAACTGGGGTACAGGCCAGAGGTGCAGGGTGGCGAGAGGCTTCACCAGAGACAGAGTGGGGAGCAGAACAGGCAGATCAACGAAGTACACTGCTGAGAGGAACAGCAGGCGGGTCAGGAGAGGTCAGCTGCGCCATGTGGTCACTTCCGGGGCAGGCGGGGATTGAACTCATGCGGAAGTGGCTTTAGCCTCTCAGTGCTGCACTTTTACCCGCTGCACCACCAGGGAGGGCCTGTGGTGTTATTTTTATGGAGAACTAATACTCTCCTTTTTAGTGTACCATTTAATGTGGTAATCACTTATCAGTTTGATAAAAACTTTTTAAAAAAGTTTTATGCATACAGAGCTGGGGTACAGGCCAGAAGTGCGGGGGCAGTGAGAGGATTCACCAGAGATAGAGTGGGGAGCAGAACAGGCAGATCAATGAAGTCCACTGCTGAGGGGAGCAGCGGGGCTCCCCAGATCCAAGAACTCTGTTGTGTCATGTTAGTCAGCTCCCAGGCCAGGATGGAACTCTCCCAGAAGGTACTGTGGTTAGTTTCTCAGTGCTTGACTTTAACCCTTTTCACCACTAGGGAGGGCCCTTGATAAAAACTTTTAACAAGATAAGCCTTTTCAAATGATTGCTTCAAAAAATTGTAATCATGCTTCATGGAGATTCTTTAAAATAACTTTGTGTGAAGGACAAAGTCTTGAACTATGAAGATTATTGTGCTGTTTCTTTCAGCTTTTTCTCACTGATGCTCAGAAATCACAGGCCAGAATTTCTACAAGGTCATGCAAAGTGAGGATTTATACAAGAACAGTCAAGTAAGCATCTAGTTAGACACAAAAATTGTGAAACAGTCAAGTAAGCATTTAGTTAAATACAAAAATTGTGATCTGTTCCTTCCTGCAGTAGGAATAGATCTTATCCCCGTAACTAATGGCCAAGCACAAGTGGATCTTTGAGTTCCTTGGCAAATACTGACTTTCATGAAAACTATCATTTCCTACTTCAGTCATTTTTTAAAAGCAACCTTTGTAGGGCCCTCCCTGGTGCCTGAGGAGCTGGGTCTTAGCACTATCTCTGCTACAGGCTGAGTCCAATCCCTGGCCAGGGAGCTGACCACATGGCATAGAGACCTTTCCTGACCCGCCCACTGCTCCCCTCAGTGGTGTATTTCAGTCAGTTTGCCTTTTCTGCTCCCCACTCTGCCTCTGGTGGATCCTTTCACCCCTGCCCCCACAACACTGGCCTACACCCCAGTTCTATGCCAAAAAAAAAAAAATAAAAGAAGTGAAAAGCAACCTTTTTAACCATAGAAAGATTTATTACAAAACTATTTCCTTATACTTCCTCCTATCTGAAGACCTCCCACCTTCCCAGTGTGTGAGGAGTCAGTACAGCAACAGATCAAACCAAGCACATGAACCAGTTTTCCTTTTCATTGGTTTTGAGATCGAAATCACATCCCAAACTTTTTTTTTTAAGGTTTATTTATACATACAGAACTGGGGTACAGGCCAGAGGTGCAGGGGCGGTGAGAGGATTCACCAGAGACAGAGTGGGGAGCAGAACAGGCAGATCAATAAAGTACACTGCTGAGGGAGCAGCAGGAAAGACAGGAGAAGTCTGTCGCACCATGTGGGTCAGCCCTGGGGCCAGGGATCGAACTCGCACTGAAGCAGATGTGGCCAGCTTGCACCACCAGGGAGGGCAAACCTCTCTAACTTCACTTTTTAGAATAGCTGTGGGGACTGTTTAAATTTTAAAAACAAGACATATTTGGTATTAGGTGAAGATCATGGTCTAAAATTCACCAGCAATTTTTTCTAATTTAACTATTTTCAAACATGTTGCCATGCATTTGAGATAGTTTCCCCATAATATTTCATTTTCTGACATTTCCCCCTAATTTGTTAGCTCTTAGCATTTCCTTCTACATTAAAAGAGAACTGTTTTTGTCCATTATTTTTCAATGTGTTCCCCAAACCACAATCTTTAACAATATTATCCTTACATTTTATCACTTCTTTTCTGCCCCCCGCAATCATCAAAACACTTTTTGAATGCACATTCACCAGAATGAGTGGTGCCACTCATATGCTGTTCTTGAGGTGCCGTTTCCATTCCCCCCCAAGTCCCATCATCCCCTACCCACAGAGATTCCTATCTGATTTGTCTGGGGTAAAGCCTGTGTGTTGGAGTTTCTTTTAAAGTTCCCTAAGTAACCCTAAGGGGCAGTATCCACTAGCTTCAGGGATTCTGATCTGTCTGGAGTGAGGTATGTAGGGATTTTTTAAAAGATATATTTATTTATGCATACAGAACTGGAGTACAGGACAGAGGTGCAGGGGCAGTGAGAGGATTCACCAGAGACAGTAGGCAGCAGATCAGGCAGATTGTGGAAGTACACTGCTGAGGGGAGCAGCAGGATGTCAGGAGAGGTCTGCCACACCATGTGGGTCACCTCTGGGGCAGGATCCAACTCATGCGGAAGTGGCTTTAGCTTCTTAGTGCTGTGCTTTAACCCCCTGCGCCACCTGCGAGGGCCTGGGATTGTTTTCTTTAAAGTGCTCCAGTTAACCCTAAGGGACACCCAGAGTTGACAATCCCTGAGAAAGAATAGCAGAATATGTTTCTATAGAAATACTACTGCTTCCCTGTGATTCCACATTAGGACACATCTTTCTAGTTTAATTACCTGTCAAGAGAGTAGCTAAATGTCTTGAATCTTCATTGCTGGCCTCCAAAATTCTTAGGCCCCAGAGCATGAATGGATTTCTTAGCTTTCTCCATCACCACTTCTATTGGATAACTCAGAGAAGGGGTCCAGTGGAGTTAGTGGCAGTTATTTAGCTCATTTGAAGATTTATTCAAAGTTCTGAAGAATTAGTTTAGAGAAGCTGATCTCTGGCCAACTCATCTCATCCTGACTGCTCCTGTTGGCTCTCTGCTGGAACATGGAGCCCAGCTCCCTTAGCTTCATAATCGCTCACTTGTTCCAGGTACACCCTGTAGGTGAATCAGCTTCCAGACTCTCAAGGAGATGCCCCCCTTTTCCCAGTCCCACTTTCCCATGGCTCTCAGAACATCATTCTTTTCAATGAGTCCATAAATCATCAAAATGATTATGCTTTATTTCAAAAGTCCAATATTGTGGCAATTATAAATGAATAGCATACTAGTAAGCATTTCAATATTATAAGTCTCCAAAGCTTAAAAACAAAACAATCCTGGAGTGAGCATGATTTCTGGTGAGATGCAAACACTAACTTGCATTGTGCAGAATCTTCTCTTTCTCCACCAGGGCTGCCCTCGGCATGGAACCTGGAATACTCACCCTCACAGTTGCACTGGATGGGCAACACCAGGCCTGATCCTTGAAGGTGCAACTGTGGCAAGTACCTCTGGTCCAGGTAGTCTCAACCTCAATTACTACTGGCTCTGGGCCAGATAATTCTCTAGAGACTGTCTTTGTTGTAGGATGACTGACAGCACCCATGACCTCTCTCCACTAGATGCCAGTAGACACCCTTTCAATGTCAACTCCAAATGTCTTCAGACATAACCAAGTGTCTCCTGGGGTGTGGTAGAGGCAGACTTTCTCCACTGTGAGTGAGAACCATTGGTTTAGTCCAAAGATACTTTGTGTCTGCTTGACCTTATTTTTTTTTTTTAAGATTTATTTATTTATTCATACAGAACTGGGGTACAGGCCAGAGGCTCAGGGGCAGTGAGAGGCTTCACCAGAGACAGAGTGGGGAGCAGAACAGGCAGATCGACAAAGTACACTGCTGAGGGGAGCAGCGGGAGGGTCAGGAGAGGTCTGGCTCGCCTTGTGGTCTCCTCCGGGGCAGGCGGCAGGCAGGAATCGAACTCAT